ATTCCAAAAATCTGAGGATTTATTATAGTTTTTATAGTCAGTGATATTAAGGGAGGTCAATGATTGCCTTTTTTGTCTGCTTTATTTCTGATTTTTTTCCAAATGAAAACAAGAAGTTGGAGATGAAATATGAAATGTCTTTAAATGTTTTATTACTGAAGGACAAACTGAAGCATGGAGTGAGCATAACAGGAAGAACACGTGTGTGTTTACAAGTAAAATAATGACTTTATTGATACCACAGCCCTGAGTCATCACGCTGCATTCATGTCTTGTGGGAAAAAAATCATTATTTCACAGTTGAAAGCTACAAGGAGGGGAATTTCATCGGACCCATGAAGGTGCCATGATTGTAGTTTTTCTGGACTCTTTGTCCAAAACTGACCTGAAATCTGATTCTCAGAGCATATTAGTTCCCACAAGAAGTGAATGTAGCACTGTTGTAACCAATCACAGAGAGGAAAAGGACACAGCAGAAACATGACCAATCAGTAGGCGTTTCACTTTTATAGGGTGGAGCCTAGTTGATGATTTTGTGGTAGGGGTTGAGGGGGAGGGAGGAGGTGAAAGCTCTGATGTCGGTGATGAGCGTGGTGTCCTGAAGAGATGGCGACGAGATCGGCACAAATGTCAGCTCGCTCACTTCACCGTAGGCCGAGGACGAGGTAGCAGAATCTGGGCTGCAGGCGGTGCTCTGATCACCTTCCTCCACGCCGAAGCCGACCACCTGAGTGCAGACAGGAACAGGAAGGAAAATAAAGAGTGTGACTTTAACAACTCAACTTTACTGAAACAGCTTGTTCCTTACAAACGCAGCTCAGAGAGAAATACTGCTTCCCGTTTACTCACATGCACGCTGAGCTTCCTGCTGCTGTTGTTTCTGTGCTCCAGGAACCAGGAGACCAGCTCCTGTTGGGTGAACGTCTTCAGAACCTCAATCTGCAACGCAAACCACAGTCGGTCATCAACTGGGACCAGAACCAGCAACACAGCCTCTCAGCATCAAATTCCTGGGCCAAACTCGCAATAGATCCATCCATCCATTTCCTTTACCACTTATCCAGTTCAGAGTTTCAGGGAAGGAGGAGCCCATCCCAGCTGTAAGAGTGAGTGGTCGGTAGGCCATTCACCAGCACTGGCACGGTCACTGGCTGGTTTGGTTAAACCTGAGCCTGTAGAACGTGCTGAGAGAAAACTTCATAGCATGACTTCTGGTAAGATTCACATTCATCCATCTCAATTTAGCTGGGATAGGCTCCACCTCCACTGCAACCCTGAATTACATAAACAGAAAAGAGACTAGGTGGATGGATGGGTGGATGTTGGTAAAGTAACATGCAAATGTAGTAACATGAGTGTCACCTCCTTGTTGAGCCGGTCGAA